TTTGAAAACAATTTTTTTCATGACATACATCTTGGAGGCAAACTAATTGTTTGATGTTCGAAATGTTTGAAAAAAATAGTAATGTTAATAAGAATAATAGAAAAAAACTTCAATCTCTTATCTCAAAATCGTAATGTGCTACGATTGATATCAATAAAAATTTTTTTTTGGAGCAATGTTTAACCCCTGGAGAAAAAGTATCCCGCTCTTATGGTATTAATCTTTATCACGTTGATCTCCGCGGCTATTATCGGCTATTATCGCCACGCCAAAAATACGTCCGGTCGACTATGCGTCGACCCGCGCTCTGCAATCAGTATATACTATGATAATACCTATATCCTCTGTATATGATTACTTATAATTAATCTTATTGTTATATTATAAATAATTAAAGAGTAGAAGTAAACAAAATATAAATACTGATGGTACTGCTCGTAATAATTTTTATTTCAAAAATAAATTCAATAATTAGTGATGAATATAATTTTATAATTTTCAATCGTTCTGTATATTGAAGGAACAATAGATGTATACATCCGAAGATATGTTACGTTAAAAATTTATTAATGTTATTAAATTAATTACATATATCCAGACGTAACAACAATAATAGAGTATAATATATGGTACCTATATGTTATTGTTATCCACGTTCGAAGACATCGTCATTTCGGGTAAAAAATAAAATATATATACACTAAAAATAAACAAAAAATAAGTACCTGATCACTTATATTATATATTAAAAAACGTTATCTCATTGCCAATCAAAATTATGAATCGTCAAAGTGAACACTATATTTGTGAACGAGTAGTCGACACCAGCGCCCAGGGCAATGTTATAGGTGTCGACTACCCGTTGACCGTGGCCTTTAAATTTTCAACTTTATTACCAAAAGAACATTTTTTGTGTTTCACATCTGCCAGGTGTTCCGCGACGGTTTATTTTTTTATATAGCCCGAGTTAGTCCCAGTGATTTCGAATTACCTACGGTGCTTCCAAAAATGTAGGTATACCTGTTATATATTTCAGGTTAAAAGGCTATTTGCTGTAAGAAACACTTTTGTGATAAACGACACAAGTTAAAAAGTATTGTGGAGGACCGCGCTCTACCGGAATCAATAGCTACATAGTTTTCATTTTGTGATACTATATTATTTTATATTTTATAACATATTGTTATGAATGATTAAACTTTGTCCCGCTGTTGCCACATTCATAGCTGTAAAAATTAAGTATAACGTATTACAGTTGAACATATTTTGAACTATCATATTCGATCGTTATACCGGTGTCTTAAAAGTCGATCAGTTTATCTAAAATAAGTACCTATTTATTTTACCTATCATAATAGCCGAGGACCTAGGACGCACTCGGGTTATTATTATTATTAATTTATTTCTCAAGATAAGAATACTGGGCCTCACTGAGTATTCTCGTGTGGAGGCCCAGGAGTTATTATGTGTACATGAGTATAATTAATTATTAGTGTATAAATTACATGTTGTATTGTTTAAAATTATTAATTATATAATATTAAGTAAAAATAAGTGTCCACTGTCTAGTGAAACATTAAAATTAAACGTTGAATAAAAAAAAAATAATCAAGATATATACACCTGTAGATTTCTTATAATTAGAGTATAAAAACATAAAATAGAACATAGAAAAATAGATAAAATAATATAAATAAACAGTTAAAAAAGGTATGTTATAACTTATAATCAGGGCTCGGAAGTTTCAGTAAAAATGTTACTTTTTAGCTCTTAAATATGCACTTAAAAACTCCAAAATATGCGCTATAAATAGCACAAAAATCAAAAAAATATGCATTTAACTTGAAAAAATAAAATGTAATTTTACAATTTTATAAAATTGTTGGTCCCATAGACGTCAGGGACTGTCTGAACTAGTTAAATTATAAACCTGATTAACAAATATATTGAAATGTTAGTGTACTTATAAGGTCTATTTATTTCCTAATCAAGTTAATCATTATTTTCATCATAATGTGATAATATTCTATATTTTGTATAATATGTAGGTACCTACCTATATTATGAAAATATACCCAAAAATTGGGCTATAAACCCTAAATTAGCAAAATAGTAGCATAATAAAAACCGTAAATATGCAAAAAATAGCAAAATAAAATTTCGTGTATGACATCAGAGAAGTATCACACTTCTCTGATGTCACATATTTGTATCTCACTTTGGATGTTCTAGGACGAACCAAAAAAATATGCATTTGCTAGAACTTCCGAGCCCTGCTTATAATAATAGGTTAGAGTTGAATTCATAAAGAAGCCATTTCTTAAAGTCTATCCTATATAGAGGTAATGTATGGTAGTGCTATTCAACATATTTTGTCGATAAGACAACGGACACACTCGGCCACTGCCTCATAATTTGTCGTTAAACCATGGATGTATACTCGGGATATCCTCACCTATACTCAGTGATGTAAAAATACCATATTTTATTTTGCAATTGTATAATACGTGTATTATACGTGTATTATATACGTGTATAATACAGTATTTTACAAAAATCGTATGGAGTTTAGATAATTGTTAAATATATAGCTACCAGAGTGTAATAAGAATGTATAAGATCAATAATTTGGCAGTTTATTGATGAATAATTATGCATTTTGATTATTAAATTATGTAATGGCAAATTAATAACTAACAGTAAATAAATGAAAATGTATTGGTTCTAAGTTTTGAACACCTATTAGGTTTTAATTAGTGCTTACTATTTTGAATCAGTTTTTGGAGATATTAACAAATGTTTTGCCAAACGAAATGCATTATATGCATAATAAGCCTCTTTACAAAGTAAGCATTTTCGTTTTTCAATATTTCCAACATAATACTTGGTAAAAAATTGGTCAACAATAGATTTTTGCTTTGAAGGTCGACCCATAGTAAAAAGAAACAGTAACTAACGTTTAGGAACTTCAATTAATTGTAACTTGTAGTTTGTAGGTATAGTTAAATAGAATTATTAGAATTTAGTATAATATTATACTACGGTATAATGTCAACGATTATGAGTTCAAAAAAATATCACTGGAGTTTAATAATCATGTTGTAAATATAACAATACATAAACTGTCACTGGTGACTGGTCACCCATCCGGGAACTAGTAGCAGCGGGCGTAACTTACTATCAGTCGTATTTCTAAGCCACACATTTATTAATTAATTAATTATTTTTTTTTTATTAACTAACCCTCAGCAACTTAGGCAGGTGGGTGGTTTTTAACTGTGGGAGAGGATACTGCAGGTTTTTTTTACTTTTGACACCCCCCCCACCCAAGAAAAAAAAACACATCATTAATCAACATCAATAATCGCTCCGGCGCTTCGCTAAGAATCAAAAATATATATTTTCAATTGAAAAATTTAACATCGACTACTTCATTATTACATTTTAATAATATGATCAAGCTTAATTTTTCATTTCTATATTTTTCTTAAACTAAAATTTCACACAGCCACGGTTGTAAAATTAATTTTATCACACCGATATTGGGATGGTGATATTTCGGTTTGGAACCGATGAATCCACATTTTGCACATCCGGTATAGTTTGAGAACTGCATGACACCTATAGCCTACTTGTTTTAGTGTTTAAGGAGTGTTTATGCAAGAAAAAGCGGAAGTTCTATTAACGTACGTTGGGTATACCGTATAAGATTCAGGCCCGATTCGCCGACACCCAATTTGCCGACTACTCGATTCGCCGACGCGGAAACCGGTCTCCGGTAAAAATGGAAAAAGTTCCAATTCGCCGACAAACGTAATTTTATAAAATATAAAAATAATTTTTATGTGGAAATCTAGAATATTACAATCTACAATCAAAATGTTGATGAAACTATTATACTACGATATTATTGGCATTTGTCAGTTGACAGTTAGTAATCATTGCATCGACAGTTGCAACGTCAGTAGTTATTTAATACGAGTAATATTAAAATGCCGTGGTTTATAATAAATTCTGAGCGTGATGGCAAACTTTTAGTTGTCGATAAATGTATACACCGAGTTGATAGAATACGAGGTTCTAACCACTATTATAAATGTATTGACAATTGTGGAGGTCGAGCAATATACAGAGAAGATTCAGATAATGCTATAATGTCAAAAACGCATGGACTGTGGACACCCGTCGCATGGAATCCAATTGGCTGAACGTGGTTTTCGGAATAAGCTTAAAGTGAGTTTGTTTTAATTTTTCCATTTTTTTTTCAAAAATGTTTATACACAGTTGAAATATATATATACATATTGTTTGGGTGAACCACATTAATGGAGATAAGGAAAACATATTCAATATAATAGAGTTTAAACCTCGGTTACGCTTAACCTACTGATTTTACCTGACGAATTCCGCCGTTTAACCTTAGCTTAACTATTGTAATACGTCGTATAGTTTCAGACGGTTAAGAGATTCCCAACCAGGGTGCCGCGAAATTATTTGAAATATTTTTTTAGAAAAAACAATTTCATCAAAAGTATAGCACTGTGAGAAATAAAACGGACTATAATAATATAAAACCTATCGTGTTTCATATATTTTGTAGAAATATTACGATGTTCGATCTATTTTAATGTTCATATACACCAGTTTCAATGCTATCGCTTCGATGTCTTGTGCTTTTATCTTATCTTAATTTTTGTAAAACATGTATCGACAATAGTAATTTAACAATATAGGTATACTAACAATTTCAGTACAGTCTGGTTTTAGTCATCATTGCGAAATATATTATATATTTCAGTCGTGTCTAGATATTTTATAATTTTATATAATTAAAATTTAGTTAAAATAATGGATAAATTTATTGTTAAAAAACGAAAATTAAATGAAGACGAAATTTCAACTATCCATAATATTGATCAACATCTGGTGAATCAAATTAAGCTAGTTCTAGTTTTACTGGTTTAAATAAAATACGTTTATATAATATTAGTTACTTAGCTATGGGATTTACTTGGTATGGAAATGAAAATTGTCCTCAACCAGAATGCATTGCATGTGGAGTGAAATTATCCAACGCAGCTATGGTTCCAAGTAAATTGAAGCGTCATTTATTAAAAAAACATGATCATTTAGCTAATAAAAATGTTGACTACTTCAAACAACTATTAAGTTCACCAAATAAAGAATCAGTAATTTTTGAGAAAAGGTTAGGTACTAAATAACTATAACTTAACTATAATAACTTAACCGTTAAGATATCAGATGTCGTTGTAGTAGTTGTCTATTCAGTAGGTATTCATAAATGGACGGCCATCGGATTGACTTGGTCCAAAATCATACACTTCTATTTTCAGAAGATTCGTTTTTCGAACATGCCAAAAAGTTTAATATTACTTATTATGATATATTGAAATGAATATATAGAAAAGTAATAAAAATAAAAGTTGCATACAAAATATGTAATATAAAAATAAAAATACATACCTACATATATAATACAGGGCCGGCCTTAGGGCAGGTCAACTGGGACATTTGTCCTGGGCCCTAATTTTAGGGCCCAGCGCTTACATCATGAAAACTAGGTGGTACCTAGCTAATATGTAGTTAAATTGAAAAAATAATAATTCATAGAGTTTAAGTTATGTTTTGGAGAGAACATGTTATGTTGTGTATTGTATTTTGTACAAATGCATATTGCATAATAATATTTATATATAGCGTTATGGACTTATGGTATTAATAGGTAATAGTTCTAGAAAAATAATAACAATTACCTATTCGACGATCGATGCTAAAAGTGTCTTATCGCATCGCAGCGTTGACGCCCAATATTATACGCTACTGCGCTAATAATCAATCAGTGGATTATTTTGTTTTATTTTTATTTGTTGTACAATGCAATTTAAAATCAATACGACCCGACGATACTGATTATTTCACTTTTGAATTGTATATTTGTCTTTTCAATCAGAGTTCTGACGAAGGAAGAGTGCTGTTTTACAATGTTTACATTTTATGTAAAGGTATGAATCCGTAGCGTACGCAGGGGGGTAGGCTAACGGCTTAAGCCCCCCCCATTGCCCGTATTATTATTACTTAAAAAAAAAAAAATATTTATCAAGTTTCAACTGTCAACTATAGTAAGCAACACGTAAATTTCATAATATACGTCTTACACTCTTACCAGAATGAATTCATTTTTGAAAAAACATTGTATTTGCATACCAATTTTCCTAAAATGATCTATAATTTTTCGGTAAAAGTATGAACTTCTTGTATGAAAGACCTTGGTATTAAATTGTCTAACCTTAGTTATACACATTTAATATTTTATAAGTTTTGAACTAGGTACAAATTAATTAACCGTGGTTTTGACGAAATTTTAACTTTAAATGCTTATAAAAAATAACCATGATGTGTATATACCTACGTATCGTTAATATTTTAGCTATAATCAAAACTTACTTATTACATTTTTAAGCTTTTTGACTGGATAAATAATTTTTTATTGACATTTATGAAAAAAAAAAATATTTAATTAATCAACAAATCAACAATCCAAGTGAGGGTGGTATAACCCAGCTGGTTACCATACATTTTAACAAATTTTCATTTTTTTTATCCATTTATTTTAAAAAGCATTAGGTAAGCATTTTCAATTTGGACCTCCTAAAAATACCAACTAGATACAATTTGTTCTAAAACACATATATCGGAGTTTATGATCAGAGCACGTTTTCTACCAGAAAAGTTGAGAAGTTACAAACATTTTAAAATACCTCAAATAAACGTCAGAAATTATTAGACTGGACAAAATAAAAATAAAATTGTAACTAATTTTCAAGCCCCTCCCCCCTCATTAAAAAAATCCTGCGTACGCCACGGGTAAGAATAATTAAATTTATTATACTTCTGTTATTAAACTGATTGTACTTCAAGTTGTGTTCTACACAATTTATATTATTATATTAGGGTTTTCAGTGTTTTGTGAATTACTTTTAAAAAGTAATGAAATTACGTTACTTGTTAATTTAAATATTTTTATTTAAATTACATTACTTTTTCATTAGTAAAGTAGTGATGAGTTACAAATAACGTTATTTTTTTTTAACTATATTCAATTATTATGTATATATTTTACAATCATAGACCTAGTGATAATATACCTGTTTTAGTATTATGTACAAATTTACAATCATCTCATCTATATGGTATATACTCATGTCATAAATCATAATTAATTTCTATTCAATTTTATTTTTAAACCGAACTCTTTTCTTTCTGCTAATAAAGTGACAGCATTTATTCCTGGAATGTTTAGTAATATTGTCAACTATAATTATTATCGGAATCAAAAATAAATATAATTGATTTTTAATTTTTCTGGGATATCCTATACCTGTAATATATTCAAAACTGTTATTATTATAACGTGGAAAATAACGCGTTAGTGCGTTACTTCATAGAAATTACTTTTCAAAAGTAATTTTGTTACTATGTAATGAAATTACTACTGCGTTACTGAAAAAGTAATTGCGTTACAGTAATTTGTAATTTGCGTTACGTTACTATACCTAACACTGAAGGTTTTGATTTTTAACAGTTTCAATCATATTATTTTTTTTAATTTGAAAAAAAAAATATAATCAAAAAAACTCAGAAACCTATGACATTTTGAACATTTTTAGTAATTTATTGTTAATTACTAAGTATGCGATTTTTAAGTGTTATTAGTCAAACTTCGTTTAATAAATTGATTTAATTCTTTCTGAATTTCTTATCAAATCGCATACGTAGACATTTAGGATGTACTATTCCACTGCGGCCGCTTTGCCTGTCATATTATTTAGGTACCTCCACATCTGTTCGACGATAATATTGAAATACTTATATTGTAGGTACACGTAATATTGATCTATATATTATATAAAAGACAAAAATGATTATTATTTTCTAATTGAACATTGTTATGGACATGGATATCGTTCAAAATATGCAATTGAAAAACAGTAGAAGTTTATAATATTAAAGAATTAACCGTGTCTATTATTTATATACTTATCATGATAAAACAGTGTATAGGGGGACAGAGTGGCCGAGCGGACCAAAGCGTCGGCTGCGAAGCAGCCAGTCCGGGTTCGATACCTGCCGCGGGCGGCATTTTTCTTCGGACAAGTCATGGCGTCCGGACTCCGGAGAATAAGTGCCGCCATTCCCCACCCGGGGCATGGCAGAAAAATATGGGTGCCCCATTAGAAATTCTGCCACAACACACATACGTGTACGAACCTTTCCAATATATAAATCTCACAGTTCCATCCCCACACCCAATGGCCTATGTTCCAGCGGGTTATGTAATAAAAAAAAATACATATTAAATATATCTGGGGCGGGGGAAGTATAATAAATATATTTTGAAAACATGGGAAAATATAAACAAATATATTATGTACCTATTAAAAAAAAAAAGACATGGACAATTATTTTGTCCGGGGCCCCGCATAAACTAGGGTCGGCCCTGTATAATGATGTCATTAATTATTTAATCGATGGTCATCGAGTATGATTGTGACGGGAACTACCGTGCAAGTATATGTATTATGTAGTATGATAAAAATAAAAAAAATGTATAAGTACAACTTATTTTTTTAATAATTTCTATATAATATGCATGGCACATAATGTAAATATTAAACTTTTTATATTGCCCGACAATCGAATGGTACGATTTTGGTCGAAAATGTGCCCAATGAATTATGATCATTGTGAATAAATTGCATATTTATTATTTCCTACATAGATATATTCTACAATATAGACCAGGGATCACTGGCTGGTGGACCACTGTCCGCATCCGGACCTAAGATACATTTTTTACGGACTCCATACGTAATTATAAAATATATAATATATTAATATAGTTTTTACATTACATTTTTATAATAAAATGACAAATAAAAATATTTTCCGATATTTTGAGCATTTTACCTACGTGTCTCCTTCACCTAGCGTTACGTTGAAAGCCTATAAATGCAAAAAATAATTCCGAGAAGTTGATTGATAGGTATACGTTAGACGATCGGCACGGTGCGTTATCGTACCTATGTAAAAAAAAAACGAAATCTAAGAATTTCCAAAGTGCTTTATACTACAACTTAGTGGTAATGTTATTAATTGTTAATGTGTGAAAAAAGTAATTTTGTATTTAAATGTGTTTTGGACCGTGGGAAGTATGGTAAGTTTCAAAACGGACCCCCGTATAGAAATTAGTTGGTGACCCCTGATATTGACTATGGACTTACTTATTTTCTTACGTAACACTCAACTGTCACATTATTTTTTTTTCCCAGGCACCTACGAAAAGAAGTTAAAAGTTAAACTTTAAAAATACTTATAGTAATATACTAATATAGTATGGCATGCCATAAGTACAATAATATAATAATAACAATTATTTTTCTAGGTATATTTCAAAAGATTTTTTTTAAATATCAGATATATAATATAAGTGCATGCCGCATGGAAAATCAGAACTATTCAAAATATTAATTTATCTTGCAAACAAAATAGGAGTACCTACCTATATTATTATAAAACTAAAGGTCAATGGATAAAATTATGTAAAAAAGTATTTTAGTGTATACTGTTTACTTTTTAATGGTAAAATACATTTTTATTATAATTCAATAACATTAATTTCACAAAATATGCATCGCTCATATAATCCAACCAAGGTATTTTGTGAACATTTGGCTTTTAACATTATAAACTTTCTTCGGAGATACTATTTGGTAGGGAAGTTGTTCGAACACGGACGCGTTTTCGCGCCACCGTAGTTTCGGCATATGTCCCCAAAGCTGCGCCTCGGATGCCGAAGCTCACGAGGTGGCTTACCCCCTCCTCGGCCGTCCAGCGCCGGGCCGTTCGCCGCCGTAGGCTGTGCCGCCAGAAGTCGTGTGTCTTTTCCAGGCGGTCGAGCCCGACGCATCGTTGCGTTCGCTCGCCTCGTTTCACTTACTACGTTTATATGATGGCGATAAAACGGTTTAAGGCTAAACCGTTTTGAAAGTTACAACGCTCATCGCTCTATGTAGTTTAAGAATTTAAAACCGTTTTATTTGCTTAAACCGGTTTATCAGATGTACATATAAACGTTTCAGCAAATAAAACGGTTTTACATTTTTAAACTACATAGCACGAGCGTTTTAACTTTCAAAACGGT